AAAGAGAGATTGGTCACTAATATACTCCATTATCAGCATTAATGTTTGAAGTTAACGTTTACAACTAATTCTACTTGGACTTCTTATTTTCCCTCATACCAAACCAAGATTTGATTTTTAAACTGATTTTCAGGGGAAAGAAGGGCACACTGTGAATGTGACTGTGATAAGAGGGAACCACTCCACAGTTCTTTCCAAAGGATTTACTTACGTCTCCTCCTTAAATCCAGTGATTATATCTTTGAGCAGAAACAGAAGCAGCATAGCAGGTAAGATACGTGATAATAAGCGCTTCATCTTTTTGTTTTTAAACTTTTGATTGAATTTTTGTGTATTTCATGCAGAACATCATAATCATCTTTAAACCTCCTTCCCCATTGGGACCCTCCCACAATCCCTCCCACCGTATCTCATGGATTCTGACATTTGTATTAAGGCCTAGTGAGTCAAGTTAGTGTCCCCTGATGTCTGTCAGTGCAAGTTCAACCACTGAGGTCTAGTCAGCCTATTTAGTGCCCCTCCCTTTAATAGCAGCAACAGCTTTGCCAGGTTCTGCAGTCATTTGGACAAAATTGTAGAGACATCTAGCACACTGCATTTAAAAACAGTAAAAAACAAAATCCCAGAAAACAGCACAGTTCTGTTACTGTTGTGGTACCTGGCACCATTTTTTTTTTATTAGCTTCTCAATCATCATCTGGAAAGAAAACATTCTGAGTAACATCATTAAAAACAGCTCTGATTAAAAAGCATGGTCGCTCTTATACATCATAAAGCAGGTATTTTGCACTCACAGAGGGATGATACAGGACTGTCCTATGGCTGTAATACTACAGGGCACAATTTAAAAGGAATTATTTGATATTTGATTCTACTTTTCTAGTAGAGGGCCCAAAGGATAGTACGACACAGCTCTCTAAAGAAATACACTCAGGATTTCCTTTTCTTACGGGCACAGTTCTAAATATTTAGTCTCTTCATGAACATCAGCTAAAAACAAAAGAAACACAAAAACCATGGGGATATGGGGAGACATCAGAAAAAAATTACCTTAAAACAAAACTCCATAACCACTGGATTCATACAAAGATGACCCAGTGGAGGCAAGCAAGACTTACACTTATTAGCACTTTACAAAATCTGTTTTGTTTGAATAGGGAGATCTCCAAGAAAGGAAGGAGATGCTTCAATGCTTAATAAGACACAAAAACAGATGCTCTCATAAAAGGCATTTAGGTATTTACAGACTAGGGATGATTGCACACCCGGGATCAGGGGCACTGAGAGATAGTAGGTGAACCACAACTTTTGTGAATAGCCCAGTTTGTCCAAGCTGGGGTGGCAGGCCACCTGCACGATCAGTGGTGGCTTGCAGAGCAGCTTAAAGCGATTAGGATACTGGGCCTACAGGATCATGTCCTTTTCAGTCTGTTCCCTCAGCAATGATTCCCAGTTTCTTTGCCACTTGAGATTCAGGTGGAGATTTCTCGCGGGGCTGAATGTTAAAATTCCATTTCCCAGTGTAAGAGAGCAACTCACCTGGTCCCTGGAACAACACTGCATTCCCAATTTTCAGGCTAGTCAGATACAGAGACATCTTTCCTCCTTGGGGATATTTGGGGTGGAGGCCTTTCTTGATAACAAGATCCATGAAGCCCTGATCCTCATCAGCAATGACAGGAGTGTACGGCCTGATGACTAGGCTGTCATCAGTTTTGGCAGAGAGGTAGACACACTTGCCCATAAGCAGCCCTAGAATGTGGCGGGTGGTCGGCAGGCAAAACAGAATCTCTTGGTATTGAGGCTCATAGTCTGCTGGATTCCTGTGACCACTTCCTGCTCCAGCTGGAACTGACAGATCCCACAATGCCTGCAAGCTCTTCTGTTTTTAGAGGTTTGATGTTATTTAAAAGTCTATTGATGGATTGCTATTTATTTATTATTTATTTATTTATTTATTTATTTATTTATTTATTTATTTATTTATGATAAGCTGTCACTATTTAGTACAGGCTGGAACTCTCTATGCATGTCATACCGGCCTTTAAATTCACAGTCCTCTTGCTTCAGACTTCTGAGTGTTGGTATTACAGTCATGTACTACTGTGCCCAAGCTACTGTATTTTGGATGGAAGATTTTTTTCTGAAAGTAGTTTTTTTTTTTTTTTTT